ATGTTTACTTACTTTGTAAAGTGACTTTAATTATGCATACGTGCAGCTTGGAATGGCGAGTGCCTTGGAAACATTGTGCGGTCAAGCGTTTGGAGCGAAGAAGTATGACATGTTGGGAGTTTATCTGCAAAGATCTTGGATTGTTCTCTTCTTATGCTCCATTTTGCTCCTCCCTATGTACTTCTTTGTGACTCTGTTATCTAAGTGACTTATAATCAGATACATAGTGGTAAAAGGCCAGCCCTCGCTGGTACGGTATACGTCAGTAAACCGGGTTTTTGAGATGTATATATATGGAGTTTAGGTTTTATTCTTTGTAACACACGAGTAATAAGAAACCCTATTTTCGTCTCAATCTCTTTTCTTCTTTGCTTTATCGCCTTTGATTCACAACAGATTCCGATTCTTATATTATTGGGCCAGCCTGATGACATCGCCGAGCTCTTGGGTACCATCGCAATTTGGGTTATTCATATCCACTTTGCCTTTCCTTTTCTTTACCTATCATCCGATTCCTCCAATGCCAGATGAAGAATAAGGTATGTAACTTTGTAACGTATACGGCTCTAAATATGTCAATTTGTAGTAGAAAGTTTGTTTTTCTATGCTAAAGTTGTGAATTCGGATTAAAACTTGTGAATCGTGAACAGAAAACGTTTTCTTTACCTATCATCCGATTCCTCCAATGCCAGATGAAGAATAAGGTATGTAACTTTGTAACGTATACGGCTCTAAATATGTCAATTTGTAGTAGAAAGTTTGTTTTTCTATGCTAAAGTTGTGAATTCGGATTAAAACTTGTGAATCGTGAACAGAAAACGTAGTCATGCATCGTATGCACGTCCGCTCCCACTAATTAAAAGTCAAACAAGTTCTTAAGAATATTTTGAAGCTTATTTTGCCGCACATAAGGATTTGAATCGTGAAAAAGCATAAATGATAAGTAGTAAGGAGATTTTATATTCAAATTAACATCTATGGGTGTTATTGGTTGATAAGACAGAATATTTTTTTTGTTTCAAACATTTTTTGGGACCCCCCCCCACTAGAAAGGTATCACTTTTATTTTACTCTTAGAGCATAAGCAGTGGTGATACAATATGGGTACCATTAAATATAAAATTATTAAAATTTGAGTAAAAAGAAAAAAGAGAGTGTTTTTGATTGAAATAATGGGGTGTATTGAAATATAAAATTAATAAAATTTGAGTAAAGAGAAAAGATAGTGGGTATTTTTGGAGAGAGGGTATCAAATAGTTGATACTTTTGATACTTTTGAAGAGAGAAAAAGTGTGTTTTTAATAATTTTATATTTAAAGAGAGTATAAAATTAATAAAAATTGAGTAAAAGGATGAAAGAAAAGATATAAAGTTGAGTAAAAGGAAGAGAAAGTGTGTGTTTTAATAATTTTATATTTAATGATACCCATGTTGTATCACCGATGCACATGCTCTTAACATTTCTTTGGTTGAGAAGAAAATTTTACTCTTCTAAATAGAAGAAGGAAGATTTATTCTAATTATTTCACGTGCGCCTAGAAAATAAAAATTTCTTCTACTATAAATTATAGTTGAAGCTTTTAATTATGTTGTTCTTAAGCTCTGAATCCTATATATATTGACTTAAAATACACAATACTTAATTTTTTTTTTATGATAGTTCAGAAAACATTTTAGGCTAAATTCTCATTGGGATCCCCCGAAAGTCCTTCCAGAGTATATTTTCACTAGTTTAATAACATAAACCTACTAATATACAATATATTTTAAAAAGAAAAATTTTTAAAATGCCATTTTTTAAGTGCAACTTTACAAAAATATCACACTTTTGAAATTTTTACAAAAATGCCACTTTTTCAAAATTATTTTTTCTTTATATTATTTATGTTTAGGTTAATTATGTTCTATTAGGGTTTAGTTTTAAATGTTTAGAAGGTTTTAGGTGTCAAAACATTTTTTAGGGTTTAAAATTTTAAGATATAGGCTTTATAAATTTATAATTAGT